GATAATGGGAAGTTATATGTATGCCAAGTTTGACAAGTATTGGTCAAAGTATAGTGTGATTCTTTCAATTGCTATCATTTTAGATTCTCGGTACAAAATTCAGTTTGTAGATTGGGCTTATTCAAAACTTTATGGTGGTGATTCCTATGAGTTCACAAGTGTGTTCATGATACTTTATTTGAGCTCTTTGAATTGTACTCTATCAACTTGTCTTATGTTGTTCCAAGTACTTCAAGTAGTAAGAAACAAATTAGCGAGATTCATGGTTTTGATGAATCAGAAAGTCTTTTTCAAGTAAAATATAATTTAGTTTGTTTGAATTGAATGTGATTAAGGTAGTTTTACTGTATATTCGTAATGACTTTGTACAAAATGTAGGATTTTGAAAAACATGAAGAAGAAGATGCTCCTATTTTTTGAGTGACTGAGTTACAGTTGTATTTTAATGAAAAAAGGCTTGATCAAAAAAAGGACTTGGATATTTTAACTTTTTGGAAAGGAGAGCAATTTCGACATCCTATATTGTTTTGGTTGGCTTGTGATGTGATGACAATTCCTATTTCTACAGTTGCATCTGAATCTGCATTTAATACCGGTGGTAGAGTTTTGAATAAGTATTGAAGTTCACTTTTGCCAGAAACTATCCAAGCTTTGATTTGTACTAGAGATTGGATTCATGGGACGAGCAATAAGTTTGATTCCATTTTACTAGTATTATTTTTCTCATTATCCTAATTCATGTGATCATTAATTCATTTATATTTTGCTGTGCTTTGTTGTAGATGATTCTAGTGATGATTCAGAAGGAAAAATAGATGATAATATTTTCAATCAAAATATAAAGTCTAATAAAACTATATCCGCTCAATGTTTTAATTCTATATCTATCATTGATCATGACTAAATAGAGGTAATGTCAAATTTTTGTTACTTATCTAGTTATGATTCTATTTAATTATTAATGTTATATATATTTCATTTTAATTTGTGTAGGACATGGGAATATGGTTGTTGAATCTGCTCGTTGTCGTGGAGGTGAAAATTTGATCTCTTTTACGAAATTTTGTGAATCATGGAATTTGTTGTTATTTTGGATTGTAATTTGTAATATCATTGTTATTTGGTGTAATTTTGTTATTTCAGATTGTATTTATGATTTGTAATATGGTTGTTGGTGGAATTTGGTTATTTTGGATTGAAGTTTGTACTTTGTAATATGGTGTGTTATATCTAAATATTACTTTTATTTGTGCTAGTTTGTTATTTTTATAAAGTTATATAACATTTTTAAACAGGTAAATAGGTGGTTTACTATGTTAATCCGACCCAACCTGACTTGTAAAATTAGACGTGTTAACCAAGTCATGTGTCGTGTTACTCGCTTATTAAACGGTTCGTGTTCGTGTTTCACTTTTTTACCTGTTTATTAAATGTGTCGTGTACGGATTTGCATGTTTTCACCTGTCACTTATTTAACCCGACACATTTGACACCTCTAGTATCGGGCACTGGTACTTTGCACGTGTGAGATCATCTGGCTACGATCGATACTTGGCGAGTTAGGATTTTCAATGACTTCTCCATCCCCATTACATTGTGATAATCGATCTGCTATTTAGCTCACTTCTGACTCTATATTACACAAGAGGATGAAGTATATAGAGATCGGTATTCACTTTATTTAGGAGAAAGGTACTTGTGATATTGTCACACCATTATTTGTAAAGGTCAGTGATCAGGTTACAGATGTTTTCACCAAACCTGTCATTCTATCCATTCTTTGAAACTCCGTTGTCAAACTTGACTTAGTTGACATTTTTGCGCTTAACTTGAGGGGGAGTGTTGGAGTTATAGTCTAATTTATTAGGGTTTCTTTTTTCTTTTTTACCTTTACTATGATTTTATATTTTGCTTAGACCAAAGGGGTGTTCAAGTCACTTTATACTATTATTTGGCTATATAAACGGGGCTATGCTCTTAGTTTGAGTATCCTTTTTTACGCACAAATATTCCAAGTTAAACTTGATTTCAAAAAATAACTAAATGACATTGAATGAACCATGACGTACTCCAGTGCTTTTCTCACTACTGAGTTTGTCCATTTTCATAGTACAAATCGTTACCATCTCCAATTTATTATAAAAGTCAAAATCGGTAAGAATCATCTTGATTGAAAGATGACAAGCCATAACATAAAAATAAAGAAAAATGTAATATGAATAAATAAATTTGAGGACAATGAGAGAGAGAAGATCTTATTTATACATATCCAAAAATATAATCGTTGAAAAAATATGACCATTAAAAAAATATTATCGTTACAAATATGACCATTATTAATATTACCATAGAAAAATTCAAATTTGAAATTTTGATGATGTGATTGTTCTAAATTTGATCGTTATTAATATGACCGTTGAAAAATTCAAATTTTGAAATTTTGATAATGTGGTGTAACATGTCATCATGTGATGTCATTAATATGGCGATTGTGTGACATGTTGCGTAGTATTTTAGATTTTAATTATTAATAATTAGTTGAAGTGAGTTGAAATAATTAGTTAAAATAGAGATCGTTTGAGTGAACTAACACAAATGAATCTTTAAAATAGATGGTAGAGAAAATTTTAGTCACACTTTTTATAGTTATCACATCTTCAAGGACATTTTCTATATTTTTTGAATCTTCATTGGCACCTTTATCAGATTAAAATTATTAATTATAATATTATTTTACTAAATTACTCATGATATATTATAAAAAAAAATTCATCTACATCCTTTCTAGATAGACATGTTTTCAATGAGACCCCCTCTATTTTTTAAATTTTTTTTACTTTTTAAAATTTCGATCAATTAAAATTCAATTTGAGCTAATTAAAATTTTTTTATGTATTAAAATTTGAGTCGATTAAAAATTATATTTTTTTACGTATCAAAATTTAAACTGATTAAAATTCTATTCAAGAATCAAATCAAATTTTAATCAACTCGCATTAAATTTTAATCGGTCCAATTTTTTATACATAAAAAAAATATAAATTTTAAGGGAAAATTTCATCCACACTCCTTCTAGTTAAGTCTAAATTCAATGACTCCCCCTTCCGATTCTGAAACTTCACTGCACCCTCTTCTGGTTTATACTTTCAAATCAAAGACACCTTTTTAACGGTAATTTTTAACTCTATCAGTACAAAAAAGTAATGGTTTGACTATAAATTTTCTAAAAATATCAAAACTATTATTCATTATATAAATATACTAAAATGCCCTCAACTTTTTTCCCACTATATATACCATACTTTTTATTATTGTTGAAGGTTAAAAACGATTTGGTGTTACTGGAAGACATAGGGGACTGAAACTAGTAATTCTTTTTCAACTCATTATCCACAGTGATCGATCATTATCTAAGTTGGTAAAATAAATTTATTTAAATTTTTCACGCAATTTTTTTTTTAATTTTTTTCATGCGCATTTTTTTAATTTTTTTCCCCATTTTGTTATGTCAATATGTTGTGACGAATTGTTGTAGGATTAATATCTTCTTCAACTGTTGGTGGAGGTAGAGACACGAGATGAAAAATTTGACAAAAGCGTGATTTCTATCATTATATTATTTCAATGAATTTTTATCATTTAAAAGCGTTGCATGATAACTTTGTTATAATATTTGTAATCATATTATCACTCATTTGGTTACATAATTGAGTTTTTATAATTTTTATAGTTAAAATTAATTTTTCTATAATAAGAATTATAATCGATAAAGTCTATGTCAAAATTTCATCTATTTCTAACTCTTTTGTTATCATCTGTCTTTCATAACATCACCTGACCACTCTTCACACATTACTCTTCATATATAAAATTTAAATATTATTTGATAAAAGTTAATAATAATTGAATAACTGACACTAATTTGATAAGATTAATTGTTAAATTAATGGAATTTAATAATATATTTAATAGATTAAATTTTAATTTAATATAATTAAATGTCAATTTGGTGTCAATTTGATGAAATTAAATAATAATTTAATGTGAAATTAAAGAAATAATATTAATTTGATGAAATAAAATATTAAATTAATATAACTAAATGCTAATTTGATAAAATTAAATATCAATTTGTGTTAATTTGATAAGATTGAATGTTAATTTAGTTTAAATTAAATAAATGACATTAATTTGATAAAATTAAATATTAAATTGATGAACCTAAAGGTTAATATAATAAAACTAAAAGGGAGTGCGTTGAAATTTTAGAATCAGGAGAGGGTATTATTAAAGATAGGTCTATTTATAGGGGTGTCATTGAAGTTATATAAAATTTATCATATAAAATATTTATGGATATTTATATAAATTAATAATTGTCGTTAATGTCACAACCGGACAAACACTGACAGAGGATGTGGATGAAATTTTTTCAAATTTTAATTGACTCAAAAAATTAATTTTTATCAACTTGAATTAAATAAAATATATATATTTTAATTTACGAAAGTAATTTTAATCGGAGTTAACAGCTCAAGTAGAGCTCAAATTAACTCGAATTTTAATATTTAAATAAATTATTTTAATAGATTCAAATTTTAATACTTAAAAAAATAAAATTTAATCAAATTAAATCGATTTTAATTGACTCAAATTTTAATATGTAGGAATAAATATAATTAGCTTAAATTTTAATATGTAAAAACATAAATTTTAATCAGATCTAATTTTAGTCAAATTTTATGTAGAAAAATGATTTAGTATTTATGTACGAGTAATTTTGGTATTTGAGAGAATTTATTTTTGTTATAAATTGTGGTTTAATGGTAAATAGTGTCAATAATGTTTAAATATAAATTAGATAGGGTGTCAATAATATTTTTAATATTAATAAGAGTGTTCTTAGAGATACAATAAAATAAGAGGAGTGTAACTGAAATTGTTTCTGCATAATAAAAAAAGCCACCTCCTGCTTCATGAGCCCCCTCCTGCTTCACTTAGCTTTGCCGAATCTCTTACCTTGCCGCCATTAGCGTATCCTCCACATGGGCACGAGTTGCTGCCATTCCTCTCCAGCCCTACCTCATTCCTTCTTCGCCCTAAATCTCAAGGTACAATTTTATTTTTTCTCAGCAACCAAACAAACTTTTTCTTAATTTTCTTCCATTTTTTCTGAACTGTTTGTCACAGAGCTCCAATCACGAGGTACAATCTTATTTTCTAAGCAACCAAACAAAACTTTTTTTTAATTTTCTCGCATTTTTTTTTTCAGAATTGTTTGTCCTTGAGCTCACCGAAAGCTTCTACACGAGGAGTTCACCAGATTAGGGCTTTGAATGTCAAAGTAATGCAAGAAGACATGGTTATGAACATTCCGCATGTTTTAAGTGTGGCCGGCTCCGATTCCGGTGCCGGCGCCGGAATTCAAGCTGACCTCAAGGCTTGTGCGTCGCGTGGAGTGTACTGTTCTACTGTGATCACTGCTGTCACCGCACAAAACACTGCTGGCGTTCAGGTCTGATTGCATTGTAAAACACCGAATCATATTCATTTCTTAGCAAGGATTTTCAATGATTTTTGCTTTTCTTTATTTGTATCAGGGTGTTCATACTGTGCCGGAGGAGTTTGTTGCAAAGCAGTTAAAGTCCGTGCTCTCCGATATGGATGTCGATGTTGTGAGTAGATGATACTGATTACCTTGCGGAGTGTATTTATTTGATTTGGATGATTCAGTTTCTCTTATGTTTCGTTTTCTTAGGACATGTTCGCTATGTACTGTGTTTTTTGGTTTATAAAGAGTGGGCAGCAAATTAAATTCTTGTTCATAGAATCTGTGAATTATTATTATTGTCACCATTACTGGTAATTATAGCATGTACGTGCTGTTCTAGTTGACTAATACTAACTTCATATAATTAGTCCTTTTCTTTTTTAACATTTTTCTTCAATTTCCTTAATGGCGGATTATCTACCATTAATAAGTGAGGGATCCACTTATATACAATGGTGTTGCATTTGAATGTATGGTAGTCGCCAAGAAGTGAATTGAAGAGAAAATGTGTTGGTGGGGATGTCACTACTCTTTTTTTCCCTGCTTGATATCAAAACTATTATAATAGAGCTGCTGTGAAAGTGGAATATATTGTTTTGGGGCTCTCATATGAGAAATTGTGTTGTTCCTAGTTATTTGCTATGATGATTGGTTGCTGCACTTGACCTTAGTTTTTAGGATTCTTTGTGCATGACAGGCTACAGAGTATAGTGGCGAAATGATTCATTTAACATATCTGAAGTATCTGGAACAAGGCTTTGTTAAATTGAGTCGTGTATGACTATGAAATTTTTAGGTTGATGCAACTAACTGATTTTCCTGACTTGAAACTCCTCAATCCTTTTGTTTGCTTCTTTTCTTTTAGCCTGAAACGTTTTGAGGTTTTGGTGTGTTGCAATATTATTTCTTCAATATCTTTATTAGAATAGTGATCATGGTATTGAGCTGGAATTATATTATTAGGTGAAAACAGGCATGCTTCCTTCAATTAACATAGTGAAGGTTCTTTGTCAAAGTCTGAAGCAGTTCCCAGTACGAGGTAAGCGCTAGTACTATTTTTCCGATTGCAGTCATAGTAGTTGCTCTTAGATTGACCCAAACCAATTTTTTAAGGCAGCTTTAGTGGTTGATCCTGTCATGGTGTCTACAAGTGGAGATGTACTAGCCGGTCCTTCCATTCTTGATATTTTTAGGTATTTGTTATGTGACTGTCAACTAAATTCAGTTTCCCATCTTTTACTGTTCGCTAGTTCTATCGATTTATTTTGCTTACCCAGGTGAACTCAGTAGCTGATATATTGTCCATGACTTTCCCCACATAAACATTTCATCTCTGCATTTTTGTGAGACATATGTCGGGAATATACTAAATTGTTACATTACTTTTTCAAGCTTGTTATGAAATGCGGAAATGCCCCAGTCAAGTAAAGCCTCCTATGGATTTAAATTTTTGGGACGAACATATGTTGGGTTATTGTTCTTAGGCCTTGCTTCATTGGGGTGTCACCAGGATTTTCCAATGAGCTTGTTACCTCATCACTGCTCTTTCTGCCCTCAAGAATGCAAGGCCTCAAATTTTTTGTGGAACTGCTGGTCATTCTGGTTACAAGGATTGTTGTGAGGGTAGTAGGTGAAATGGACGTCCTTTTCTCATGTCATCTGCACTTGTTTTACTGTACTCTGTTGCTTGACTTGTTAGTAATATCAATTTTTTTTCAGTGGGAAGAGTGCACTTCATCTGTAGCCCCAATGAATGGAATGGCTACTTGTTCTAATTTATGTTCATCCTTGGCTAAATCTTTACTTAGTAGAATAAAATCTTCCATGCTTTCTTTCGGTTCGTATTTCCAAGGAATATATTGAGCAACTTGATGCTTCCTTTGTACTTGATTCTCTTCCAATCAAAGCTTCCATTGATCTAAGAGTCCCTATCAGATTGATGAAACCTGCAATCTACTTTTGTCAAGAAGTAGAACTTTGTTGGACTTCTTTCTGAGGCCACATCCAAAGCCTATATTGTTCGCAGGAGCTATGGTTGAGAGCAGCCATTGCTTGATGCCCATTTGGTCCAGCAGCTTATCTGAAAAACTTTTTATACAGCACCCAGTTGGTTTACTTTGTTATACCTTACATAAATTTGTTTACATTCATGTTTGTAATTTTTTTTTCTTTTTCACATGCCTTTCTTTAGCGCCTATCAAATTCATCACCATCTCATCCATACTACTCTGGTTGACACTGCGTTGTGATTGTGTTTTTTGTTCCTAATTGCAGAGAACAGCTTCTGCCCATGGCTGATATAGTAACTCCGAATCTGAAAGAGGCATCTGCTTTACTCGGTGGCTTGCAATTGAAAACAGTTGATGACATGTGTTCTGCTGTGAAGTCTATACATGACATTGGCCCACGGTTAGTTCTTGCAAAATGCCTTGGATCTCTAGTCTTGTTATGAATATGCTTATCTAATGAATCTGCTGAAACTTGTGTTTCACATCCATCTGCTATAAGTTGGAAATATTAGGTTATGGAGAATCCACTGTTACCCTTTTGAATCTCTGAATGTGACAAGTTAGCCCTCTGATTTTTCTTTGGGAAATGGCAACCACATTGCCCATTTTTCCTGCTTAGCTCTTTCTTTTTCTATGTTTTGTGAACATTTTATTGTTGGGGGTGTTCTTTGGGGATTGGGTATGGGTTAGCAAGATCTACCAACAGAAAAATGGGATTTTCAGTGTCCTGTCTTAATTAAAGGAGCATGTTGCGGTTTGCCACAAAATATAGCAGCATTCAAATTATCATTTTTTTATATAGAATATTTTTTTGATAAGTAACAATTTACACTTCTACATTTTGTTTTCTTTTGTTTTTTGGGGTGGGGGTGGGAGAGGCGTAGATTCTGGTGCATAAACTTGTGCTGTTGTGTTTGGAATTTTGACATCCTTGATAAAATATCAAATATTCCACACAAAAAATTATGTGGGGAAACATTGGAAGAAATGTAGATTTTGCTGTGGAAGTGGTGCCTTTTAAAAATACTGCTAAAAGGAACTGAAGACTTTAGGAAGCAAGTTCCAAAATAACATTTGGCAGCGATGCATTTTTTATGAAATTGTACCTAGAACTGCAAGGATTGTGCAGCAAAAGAATCTTCACACAAGAATGAAATCAGGCTATCACAAAATCGAGTTGCATGTACAAATAACAACAATAGACAACTTGAGGCTTCAGACGTGCATCTCAGAAATTGTGGTGCATTAGGATTCTTAAAAATTGGAATGCAGTCATGCAGTCAAGCATGTTTGTCTGAAACTTAATTTATATTCTCTGAAATTGGAAGTTAAGAGGAAAATTCCATGAAACCTTTAATTGTCTTAGTTGGTTTTAAAACTGTCTACGATATGCATATATCTTTGTACATTGACGGCTTGCCCTTTTTCTCAACTGTTATGTTTCAGGAGACTGTGATGAAGGAGAAAAAGATTATCTAAGCCATTTTGTTGTTTTGGTTTCAGAAATGTACTTTTGAAAGGAGGTGATCTCCCTGCTTCATTGGATGCTGTTGATGTTTTCTTTGATGGTACTCAATATGTTCTTTGGAAATCTTGAGCTGATTCATTGTTCTTCCTTTTTGTTCTTAGGGGTGTGTGTATTGTAAATAGTATAACTCTCTGAATTTTATCTTTTAGGTGAGAATATCTTTGAGCTGTGTTTCCCACGCATAAAAACTCAAAATACTCATGGAACTGGTTGCACTTTGGCTTCATGTATAGCAGCTGAGCTCGCGAAAGGTTCTCCAATGCTATCAGCTGTTAAGGTGATTATATGCTTGCATTTAGGGTCCTCAGTCCTGATAGTTTAATGATCTGTGGAGTGCCCCAAATAAAAGTTAATTGTCTATAGCTAGGAAGCACGGACACTTCATTTTGGGCAGAGTGTCGGTGTCGGACACGTCTAGGACACGGACACGCTTCGGACACGTTAAAATGAGTGTTCGATTTTTTTATTATTAAATTTTTTTTAGGACACGTTGGGACACGCTGGGGGACACGTTTTGAGATTTATTTTCAATTTTTTTGAGAACTTTTCAGATAATTTTATAATTAGGAATTATTTTTATAATTTTAAAGGGATATGAGTCACAATCATAATATAAAAGAAGTTATAATAATTATATTGAACATAGGACATGAATATAATATAATTTTGAATATGAATATGAACTTATATACAAATGGAATAGTCTTTTATTATGAAAGTAATGTGAGAAAAAATAGGATTACAAAATTGGAGCTCTTGGAATTTGATGAAAATTAGTATTACGAAATGAAATATTTTTAAAGTAAAAGTTGTAAAAGTCATTGATTATTGAATTATGGATGTTAATATTGTATGTGTATCAATATGTCTTATATTATACTTTTCATGAAATGATATCATGATATAAATTTTTAGAATTAGGAAAATAATGAATTAAAAGATTATTATTATAATATTTTTATTTTATCACATGATTATATATATATATATATATATAAAATACATATTATTTAACATATCGCTAACGTGTCCGTGTCCTACTTTTTTGAAAAATTTTATGTTGGCGTGTCCGTGTCGTGTCGTATCCATGTCCGTGCTTCTTAGGTCTATAGTTTGCTCACTATTGCAGCTAAGTTTGCTGCAATAATGATGTAATCACTAGCTGCAGGCTCGAGAAAATCAGACTGAATTACATCCAAAGGGCTTGATTGATCTGGTATTGCTCTTGTTCTCGTCATGAGAACCAAGGAGCCATCTTTTTTTCTTTGCTTATTACCAGTCCCCTCCCCCCAAAGCCATTTTGATTTTATGTGAAGGAATTATAAAATTCATGAAATTGTTAGAAGGGGCTCCCATGCTTTATGGTACATATAGCTTGTCAGAATGCTCAAGTTATGTTCATACATGAACGTAATCTAGGATGATGACGCTGAGATGGTTGATTGGCAAGATGAGAATACAAAATGATAGAAATTTGTTTATGAAATATCAAAGAAGTGCCAGTCTAAGCATAGTTGCAGTGAGACGACATGATAAGAATCATAAGATGCTTTTAGTTTTTCCGATTTCAGAACGCAAGAGGATTGAGATGGCTCAGTGTCAAGGTGTGAAGAAGTCCAGGGAATTAAAATAATTTTTTTTTTTTTTTGGGGGGGGGGGGGGCAGGGACTTGCAATCAGATTTGTGGTAGAACTGCTAAATGTTTTTCTCCTTTTACTATGGCCTCTTGTAGTTGAATTTTGCTAGGAATGAACATCTATGGTTTCAACCAAATCTGACAACCCCGACCACATACTTCTTAGAAGGGCTTGTGACGCTGCAAATTCACAATCTCCTTGGGCCCATGCCTTCCATGCATGTTCTCCAGTATTTGCTGGATTGAATAATTAGAAATGGACCTGTTCTCGCACTTTTGCTTCTTGATAGTCGGAAGTTTCAATTTTGGTTATACATTTCTTAATTCATTTTTCACTGAATCTTGTCAGGTTGCCAAACGTTATGTCCAGACTGCCTTGGATTACAGTAAGGACATTGTTATTGGAAATGGGATTCAAGGTCCTTTTGACCACCTCTTTAAGCTTAAGAGTATTGCCCTGAATTCATTTAGACAATGGGCATTCGATCCAAGTGTTCTTTTCTTGTATGCTGTTACTGATTCGGGGATGAATAAGAGGTGGGGTCGTTCCATCACTGATGCTGTGGAAGCTGCCATACAAGGAGGTGCTACCATTGTTCAGCTGAGGTTCATAGCTTTTTGCTTTGTTTGATGTTTTCATTTTTGGCTGGGGTGAAGGGACAAAAAAGAAGGGGGGTGGGGGGTTCTTTGATTTTATTTTTTTTCCTGTTGGGAGGACGTATAGTTGTAATCTGGGCGAGTCAATCCAGACCTAATCCGGGCACAACCCGTATTATTCAATAATTGGGTAAGAGTTGGGTTTGGACAAGAAAATCTCGCGCCAATTAAACTCGTGAGGTACTCAGGTTGGGGTCTCGAGTTCTTGGGACCTAACCCAATTCATGAAGTCAGGTCCCAACTGCCCATCCCGAGCTTCAAACCTGAATTTCAACCTGAGTTTTATAAACCTAGTCGAATCCAAGTTGAAGAATTAAAGATGGACATTACTCGGGCTGAATATTGGTTGTGGGTGAACTCAGGTTGGGTGTTAACTTAGGTTGAGCCTAGGCTGACTTCTTAACCTGCCCAACCCATCCGAGTTACACCTGAGGAGGGAGGGGAGGGGGTTTGGACATATTTCATGCACATTGTATAACTCTGGGCTCTTGCACTCGTGCCTCTGTCAACCCCATGTTCAGTTGAGGTTCTTGGAAGAGAATTGAATAGCTTACCTACTATTTTAGTCTGCCGATACTTCAGCTGTTTCCATTTTGATTCGTTATAACCATGTGGTGCTTAGTCTCCAACAGCTTTTCAAGTTCTCAAAAGTGTTTGAAATCCTGTAGGAAATTGTCTCTGCAAAATCATTCATTTTCATATCTATACATGAAGTGCATTTGTGTTGACTGAATTTCTATTACTTATGAAGGGAAAAGGATATTGAAACGGGGGAATTTCTGGAAGCAGCCAAAGCATGTCTCAAAATTTGTCATCTCCATGGTGTACCTGTGTTGATAAATGACAGAGTCGATGTTGCCCTTGCTTGTGATGCTGATGGTGTGCATGTTGGCCAATCTGACATGCCTGCTCGTATGGCCCGCACTCTTCTTGGGCCTGAAAAGATCATTGGTGTATCGTGCAAGACCCCAGAGCAAGCTCGGCAAGCATGGATTGATGGTGCCGACTACATTGGTTGTGGCGGTGTATACCCAACCAATACAAAAGCTAACAATCGAACCATTGGTTTGGAAGGGCTGAAAACTGTATGTTTGGCTTCCAAGTTACCAGTAGTTGCCATAGGCGGGATTGGTGTTTCAAATGCACGGTCTGTGATGGAACTAGATCTCCCAAATGTGAAAGGTGTTGCAGTTGTATCCGCTCTGTTTAATAGGGAATGCGTTCTGGCAGAGACCAGGAAGTTGCGAACAGTGCTAAGGGAGAAGCCTGCTGGGAGAAAATGATACGGATGTTGAAGATGAACTTTCTTAATCATCAATGTAACACGAATACTGCAATCACTGTAAGGACTCTGCAGCTGTAGCCTTGCTTGTTATTAAGTTTTCTGCAAGCGGTTCAAAAAAAAAAAAAAAAATAGGTACCATTAACAATTAACAAAGAAACAATGGTGAATAAAAGCATGAGCAATGCCTTGATATTTGCTTCCTTTTTTGTTCATCTTCACTCTATTTCCTCTTTTGGGGCCGACATAGGCTCCTTGCCTTCCACTGCATAGCTGTTCTAGCAGGTACTACGTGCCCTCTGTTCCATGCATCTAACCAGCTCGTGTGGTTGACTAATTTCAGCGAAAACTCTCATTTGTTGAAGTGGAGCATAGTGTGCCTTAGGCGGCGAGTGAGAAACTTCTCTTCGTGGGGCAGAGTATGATCTGAAGAAGCCAACGCATTTGTAGTTGTCCTAAATATTACAGGCTGAATTATGGTTATTGACCATTGGTATCGTAGTTGTATTCTATTTCGATGTTTTTTGGGTTTTGACCATTGGTATTGTAGTTGTATTATTTTCCATGTCGCCCAAAATATATTTAAGGGGACCACCACTTAATAAAAACAAAATTAGCAAATGGTACATCTAAAAATGGTAGGGCGATGTATCACTGTGACCTCGAGGAACATTCGCTCAGCCCCGTATCTCCAGTTCAAGGACACTACACACAAGAGGCTCTGTTATGGCTCTAAAATGAGTTGCAAGTCCAATCTCTGGGTTCAATGGTTTTTTTTGTCTCGTAAAGACTTTGCTTTCTTGAAGTCAAGGGTTTAAGTTCTACTCCTCTGTTTCCTCCCAAAAAAAAACCAAAAATAAGTCCAATCTCTGGGTCATACCATGGAGAAAATACAGGTGACAAGTGTTGTGTATTTTAAATAAATTTTTTGTAAATTTCCAATAAATCACTACTTGTAAATTTGTCAATTTTTTTTTTTAAGGAGGTAACTTGTTTTTTACTTAAAAAAAAGGGTATAGGGGACAGGGATGACCAGATATGCAATATCTATCAGGACATAATCATAACAATTTTTATCCGTTGAGAAAGTTCTTTAGAACGGTAACACCACGTCAATGATGACGTGGTGTCACTGTTATATCCAATATTTTTTCTCTAAAAGGACGTAAACATAGGCAAACTTGTGTACTTAACAAGTAAGTATTATGACTATTCTTTTTTTACTCTAAAGGATAGTTCAAATGATAATAAAAAACAAGCTGAAAACCCAAATGATGCACATCACATGAGTCTATTACTATTGAAATAGGGCCTACTATCCAACTAAATGAAAGAAAGTGAAGAGCCTAGATTTAACTAGACCAAGTCCAATTAATGAGCTAGGCCCAAATCAGTTTCAAGGCGAATCAAACTCAATTTATGGATGCGGCCCAGTCCAAAGTTGAAAGAGTCCATAAGGATTAGAGCACGTGAGGAGCAATTATTGTGATACTCACTATCGAAAATCAAGTTAACCTTTAATTGTACTTACTTTTTGTAGCTCCCTGAATATTTAGTAGCTTTCCCTTCACGTCACCGCTTCAACTAAGGCTCTGTACTTATAAATTGTAAGCTCTCTTTACATGAGAGAACACATCTCTACATATCTCACACATAACTTTTCTCTTTCATAGCTATTGTATCCCTCCCGGTGCTAACTATTGCTATCTCTCGTTCCTTTTACTTTATCAATAAAAAGTCTCTCAGCCACTAGTGTCGTTTTTTGGAGTGGAGTAGGTCATCCGGACTAAACCATTATATATATGTGTGTTGACTCGATATTTATATTATTGCTATTGATTGCTTTATTAATTGTCCATTAATTACACTTTATCATACATTCGACTATTTATCTTGTATAAGACTACTTTGTGCATCGTCAAAAAGTTATTGCCAGATGTGGTCACTGTTCAATCCAATATGATAGTAAAGTATTGTTTCAAATAGAAATAAAGTTGCAACCACCATGGGACAAAGTCACCACTGAGAGTGGGACAACCTTATCCCATCATTTAGTTAAACAATAACCAAAAGGGGTGATATTATCCCCCAATTGGAGTAAAGTTATTGCTTATGGGATTGAGTTAGTAACAAATAAAGCCGAGTTATACCAAATGGATCCAATTTACTGTCAAACGGGCTCCCTGTTAGTAATATGACAAAGCAAATGTGATCAAGTCACTTCCAAATAGGGTAAAATTTATTATCAAATGAGATCAAACCACAAACAAGAAAAAATTAGTATGGATAACAGGTTAGGTTATGATTTTACTTAAAAAAAAATGTGTACCACAAACGAGAAAAAGTTAGTTTAGATAAGGGTTAGGATATGATCTTACTTGAAAGAAAATGTGTGCCACAAACAAGAAAAAGTTAGTATAAATAACAGGTCATCTTACTTAAAAGAAAATGTGTACTACAAATGGGAAAAATATAGTATAGATGGTAGACTAGGTTATTACCTTGCTTAAAAGAAAATGTGTACCATAAACAGGAAAAAAGTTAGTATAGATAACGAGTTATCTTACTTAAAAGAAAACGTGTATCACAAACGAAAAAAATATATAGATAACAAGCTAGGTTATTATCTTACTTAAAAAAAAATGTGTAACATAAATGAGAAAAAGTTAGTATAGATAACCGGTCATCTTACTTAAAAATGAACGTGTACTATAGACGAGAAAAATATAGTATAAATAGCGAGTTAGGTTATTATCTTACTTAAAAGAAAACGTGTACCACAAATGAGAAAAATATAGTATAGATAGCGAGCTAAGTTATTATCTTAATTAAAAGAAAACGTATACCATTGATGGTGTAAATTAATGTGGATGAGCAAAATGTTGAAATTAGGCCCAAAAATTTAGGTCTAGGCTTTCAAACTCGTATGAATCGTGATAGGGAATTTCAGGGTTTTGGTGGATTTACACAACGAGAATATAGTGGTTCACCAGTTTGGGAGTTCGGCTAGTCTATTCTTCAATGGAGATTCTTACTCATTTTGTTCAGTAATGGGGTATGCAGTTTACAGTTGGCCTCTCATACAACTAGGGTTCTTCTTCTTTTCACTGGAGACATTATACAATATTTATAGAACAGTTCTTAGTTCTGTGGGATTTGCACTGAGATTTTTGTCATTTATCTGAGGAATTCTCTTTGATTTTAGGAGAAGATCTTGACTATTTGGGGGTTTTGTGTCTTGAATACGATTCTTTGCCGCCTGTAGGGTTCTGCTAATATCTAGCTGTTCTCTCATCTTCTCCGTTATTGCCTTGCTTTGGGGGGAGCTCTAGCTTTGATCCTCTGAGCTCTGCGTCACTTGTCCGACCTCCTTGTCCAACCTCTTTATTTGAGCTCATATTTAGAAATTTTTCTAGATATTATCAACCATAAACGAGAAAAAGTTAGTATAGAAAACGACTTAAGTTATCATCTTACGTAAAAGAAAACGTGTAAATATATTATGTATAAAGACATTAGGAGTTCCATGCTTGTTAGTGGAGCTGAACGGAAAAACTTAATTTTTTGTAGTTTATTTTATAAGTGTCTTTTAAGAAATTACTACACAAATGGAAAAAAGTTATAACATGGTGTGGTGATGATATACCATGAATGGGGTTAAGTTTCTACATAGGAGAATTGAATACAAAAGGTTTGCGATCAATCACACAATTTGGAATAATCTCAACGTAGTTCAAGTGAGAATAGAAATAAGTTATAAATTTAGACGTTTTTAGTTTAAATCTTGATAATTTTTTAAAGTCAAATCATGAAATATTTATCTCTCATGGCATGGATAGCTTGTCATTAATCAGACTGAAGAAGAGATTAATTGAACGAACTAAAAAAAAAATTAATTACAATGCGTATAAACTGAATCAGACATCCTTAACTGTTAATTAAACAATGTGGAATGGATCACAAACATGTGACTGGGTTGGGGGATATTCCACCGACTTAGTGGCAGGTGACATGTGACGCACATAACGCTCTTTTGCATGTGGATTAAGCTAAGTTTTATATAATTATATTTGATTTTCACATGGATTGCATTATATATTCCCATATAGATACAATTTGATTGCAATCCAGATCTAGTGGCGATCTTTCTAAATCCAAACCTAAAAAATAATTTAAGTGATAACAAGAACAAACTGTAAACTTAAATATTTTGAATTTGAATTTTGATAACTTCTTGAAACTAAGTCATGAGGTATTTATCTCTCATGAATACCCTAATTCCGATATGAACTAAAGAGGGAATCAGTCGAGGTACATCTAAGCTAATTTAAACACTCCTAACAATTAAACTAAAAAATAATATTTTTAAATCCAAATTTATAAAATATAATTTAATCAATTTAGATATGAATTTGAATCATCCGCCTTGGAGTGTTTCACGCCCCCCTAAAGCTCAACTTACCAAGAAGGAAACTATGTGCCCAAATCGTGTTCTGCTACTAAGCTCACGTGAGAGACCCAAGCCCCCTCTCTCTCTCTCTCTCTCTCTCTCTCTCTCTCTCTCTCTCTCTCTCTCTCTCTCATGGTTACCTTTTTTCCCGGATCCTTTTCTCTCTCTCTTTTTTTTTTGCTAGTTGAAAAAAGGGTGAGGGTAAGTAAAAGAGACCATCACGTTAGGTCCTCACCGATAGGATCATAAGGCCTATGCGACTGAAACACTTTTTGGAATCAGACCTAATTAGATTAATATAACGGTCAACCATCAAACCCTAATAAAAATTCTAGAATTGAAACTCTCAACCTCTGAATGAGAAGTAAGACCGATACCACCTCTCTATTCTTTGCTTACTTGATTTAAAATATCGATTGATATTAATATAATTAAGTACTTTTTTATATAATATTGTTTTACATTCCGTGTAAAGTTGTAAAACCACGATTCTCACGTAACACCCAAGTTATCCAAAACGTCTCAAGTCAATTTTGAGTGATCGGCATTAAATGGGTCTTTACTTTCTTAAGTTTATATAGGAAGGATTAGTACATATCACCCAATACCATTCTGCAACGTCACAACCAAACGTGTGTCAATATTCAAAGTTGTAATGGCTTCCCTCGCTTTCAAACTTTATTGAAGCATGACTGGCACTGCATGGAAAAAGGAAAGCTATCGACTTCCTGTATATGCCAGCAAAACCAAAAACAGAGATTGAAATATCATAATCCTCAATGCCACACAATCAAAGTCGCACTTGACATCACCGGGGATAATCGTATCACGTCAAATCGAGCATTAATTAACTCTCATTTGTTATTTATGTTAACGGATTATGTTGAAAAATAATTAACCCCTAATCAATTAATTTCATGTCAAATTCGAATCGCGTTTTGTAAAAAATTATCACCCCAAATCACCATGACCCTTTCAACATATAGAATGCTGATTAGACTTCAGTATCAAAAAATAGCATCGTACCACTAGACCATGAAATCTCGAGTATTTTCTAGTCATTAAAAAAAATAAAAATCAACAGGGGCTCAAACATGTAAAAATCTTATTGCTTTCAAGTACACAACCATCAAGTACGCCTACTATACTCACACAACTGCAATTCACAATCTCATGACCAATTACACAATACATTTACAGGCTCTATTGTACCCAAAGTCCAGAGCAGCTGACTGGCTTCTACACAACCATGAAAGCATCATGAAGTAGGTGGCATAGAAACAAACAAATTTTAAATTTCTACCAACAATACAGAGAGAGAAAGAGAATTAGGCCTCGATATGAAATTCTCCACTTGCATGCACCTCCTTCACTCTCTTATCATACTCATCTTCGTCATCGTCCTCCTCGGGCTCGATATCTTCTTCCTTTCCCTCATCTTCTTCTCCTCCCCAGCCAAAGCCTCCGATAGAACGGGAAGCAGGTGGAGGTGTCCTGGCCTCTTCCACAATTTTCATGATCTCCTCCGCACTCTGCAGGGAAAAGGTTGGGTTTTCTTTCCTGTAGTAGATGGCTTGAGCTGCTTCTGTTAATTCCCTTGGCAGGTTCTTCAGAAACCATGGGTGGTTCTTGATCTCTTTAATGGTGATCCTCTGCAAAACGAGAATGAATGGTTTTGAACAGGAACTGCCGGAATTCTTTTAATAAACACACGTCAATCTGGAATAGTATTGCATAAATGCATATGTGAATCAAGACATAAGGTATTTGTTAAGCATTTCAATATTATCAGTCAGAATCATTGTATTGTGAAAGAAAAGCAGCAAAGAATCCAGCTAAAAAACAGTTAGATAAGTTCCTGCACTGTTTATGACCCAACAGTTAGACAAGTTCCTAACACATTTCTTAAAAAATATCAAAAGGCGCAGGTTTCAAAGAAAAAAAAGACCCATTGGGAGCATTTGAACTGCTATAGACAAACCATAAAGGTAATCTAGGAGGATGATTATGACAAAAAGAGCATATATGTTGAGGCGGCATCAAGTAGATAAGTTCCTGCACTCACAACTAAGCATGAAGTAGGAAATTCTCAGTTGTCCAGAATGCAGAGAGCCATTAACAAAACATCTATCATGATGGTTGCCTCCATACAAAAAACTTTAAGATGTCATTAATAAACTTCATGTCAAGGTAGGAAACTCTCGCTACAAGTAGCAAACTTGGCCACTCTTCACAAAGGAAACTAAAGGGGAACTTATGCATACATACTATCACTGGTTCCATGCAGAATCTGAAGCAAATAAACTGACCTAATGGCTCCTACAAAGCAAAGCAACTGGCGGCAAAATTGTGAGGCTTATAAAACTAATATCTCGCACATGAGTAATGGCAAAAATTTAGTACAGAAAACACAACCAAGGTTTGATACAAATACAGTAAAAAGAATTTTGATGTAATATATGTCTTTGTAAGAGAAGCAGATTTCCGTTATTCAAAACAAAGTCCAGTAATTTTGTAATCATACATACCCTTGCTGGATTGGCAACGAATATGCGAGAAAGGAGCTGTCTACAATCTGGAGATATGTGAACATAGTCGGGTATCTTGTATTGAACAGCCATTATTCGCTGAAGAAAGAGAAAATAGAAGATTAGAAACAGCCAAAAACATTTTGTCTTTATAAGATAAGAACACAAACATGTGCATTATAATATTGGAAAGTCCTTTTACGCCCGATTTTTTTTTTTTTTTTGAAAGACCAATGCAGACGAAAACATACTTGAATTGTCTTCCTGAAATTCTTTGGATCTTCCATGTCCTCAAAAGGGTATGCTCCCACCAGCATAACATAAAGTGTCACTCCACATGACCATACATCGGCCATCTGAGCAAACACAAACGAAAATTAAACAAAACCTGCAAAGTGAAAAATATTCACACACAAACACACACAATGTGAGTGGACATTTTTCAAGTGTTGCTGTTACTCATCATGCCAGTTGACACATTATACTATGACTCTGTTATGAGGGTGTAGCCCACATCTTCTGGACAATATTAACCATAGTTGCAAAATCATGTGGATTTTGACAAAGGCAAACAAAAGTCCCGCTGGACAATAATAGCCATATGTAGATGACATAAAAGGAATAACAGATATACCTTGCCATCATATTCCCTGCGAGAAAGAACCTCAGGAGCAATATATGCTGGCGTGCCAACCGTTGATTTGGGTCTTGAGTGCAGCAGAGATGACTGTATGTGAAAAAAAAAGACACTAAGTAGATGACCTTCCTCGTCATAATTTAGTGTGAACAAAAGACACGAAGTAGATGGCATTCCTCATCATATAAGTTGGTGTCAACACTGTACTTGTAATATATACCTTTGAGTAACCAAAATCACAGATTTTCAGCCTTGGAGCAGGGCTTCCATCCAAAAGGGTATTCTCCAGTTTCAAATCTCTATGACATATTTGCTACATGGCAGGAAAATCAATGGAAATATGTCAATTCCAAGAAAAATAAAAAAGGAGAGAAAGGATGAAAGGAGATAAATTTCACTAGTTTACAGTAAGTCATACATTTATACGTTCAGAAAGGCTTAACATCAGGCATTGATAAGTAGACAAATTACACCCACAGAGACATACAAATAAATAAATGCTATTACTGTCAAACACTTTTTACCAGATGGTGACAGTAGTGGACTCCGGAGATAAGCTGCTGGAAAAAGTATCTGGCCTGACAGTTTTAACGATAAAACATCAACCAATTGAAATGCAAAATACTAAAAGTATGGAAAGCAAAATACAGGGTCTCCATATTTGAAAATTTGAGATTTAATCGAAAGCTACAATACAAGGGGCTATATAATTCCCAACAAATTACAAAACCTCATCTTCGCTGAATCTTCCAGCATTGCAGATTCGCTCAAAGAGCTCACCACCAGCTGCATACTCCATAACAATAGCTAGATGGGTAGGAGTCACCAGCACCTGTTAATCCAAATCCCAGATTAAAGATTAACAAATCAAAGTTTCTCAAGATATACCGATAAGAAACAAACTACAAAATTAGCACATTAAAGTTCATTTCGATTAAAGGTACTTGCCTCCTTGAATCGAATAATGTTCGGATGCCGAAGTGATCTATGGTTTATGATCTCTCGCGCCACATTTTCATCGATCTGTAACCAAAATAGTGTTAGACTGAGCTCAAATTTAGAGAAAATTATTAACGGAATTCAATCCACACACACACACACAGAGTTGTTCAACTGAAACCGATAAACGAAACTATATCCGCATTCGTAATACATATCATGTGCATACAACACTTGACTAAGCATATATATTAGAAGAAAAATTGAAGTTTCAACGAATTGAAAAGTTAAACGAACCCTCTGTCCTCTTTCGATGTACTTCATGGCGACCAGCTCTTTGGTTTCCTTGTGCCTCATAAGCCTGGCCACCCCGAAATTCCCAGATCCAATATCCTTCACAAGCTCGTACTTCTCCATTTCACTGCTCGTTTATGCAAAAAAAACCCCAAAACTTTAACTTCAAGTTTTCCCTAATTATGCTTCAGTTCAGTTCATACTTCTAAGCTCAAACACAGAATCGATTATTCAAGGCCCTTCAATACCAAAAACCAAATCTACAAGACTGACAAAGACAGTATAAATAGACAGATCAAGCTTGAAACTTGAAGGGATAACAGTGGATTTCGTGAATTGGCGATTAGGGTTTTACGATTCTGAGTCTGGAAGATAGATATGATCGATTTTTGCCGGGTTTTTTCCGTCTGAGGAAATTGAGAAGGTATGGAGATAGAATTTGAGAAGGGTCTGTGATGGAAAAAGGTCGTTATTATGCGGATCTGAAGGAAAGAACGTGCAGCACAGGTAAGGAGGAGTGTGTGTGTGTGTGTGTGTGTGTGTGAGAGAGAGAGAGAGAGAGCGAGAGAGATTCTGAAGAATCACAGATGGGCTAAAGCTATATATAGAGAGATATGGAGAGAGAATGGGCGAATATCTCAGCTTCGGAGAAAGACAGAACAGAGAGGATAAAAGGGGGGGAGGGGGGATGTACCTTCAGCTGTGTTGGGCTGGGCTGGTCAAGCCCAATTCATCGTATGGCCCAAGCTTAGATCCAACAAAAAAGTGGGGCCCAAGCTTAGATCCAACAAAAAGTGGGTCCCAAGCAAAAAGTTTCAAGAACAATATGGGCCCAATCTTAAATTCAAGAAAAATGCGGGGCCCAAGCGGAGGTTTACAAACATTATCAACTAAACCACTTGAAACTGTTTCCCAACCTAATTAGGTTGGCAAGAAAAAAAAAATTTTAGAGTTTAGTAAAGTGGTAAAATTATTATACTATTAACCAACACGGGTTATTCATAGATCGAACAAGAGACAAGAGCAAAGTTGCACAATGTCAATTTGAATCCCATAAAACCTAGTTTAATTTCTTTTGGTTTTAATGGTCAGAAATATTCGAACTAACTTACGCATACTTTAAATTTTATCCTCAGTCCGGTCTGATCTTGTTTAAAGGCAGGTTATTTATAACAAAACTAAGTTATTCATGAAGGATAAATTTCTCATAACTTGATTTAAAAAAATTACCAAGATTCAAACTGAATACGTCTGAGTTTCTAGATCGTCTCTGTTACTACTTGATCTACCATTTGAGATTAAAACCTAGTTTAATTGAGGTGTATGGTTTGTAACGTGCATCTGCGTTTCACAATACATTGATAAATCCAAAAAATATATGATTGAGATGATTTTTATACTCTTTGTATTCTAATTACTAAAGTTAGGTGTCTTGTCATTGTAATGTCTGTTAATCAACTTAAGAGCATAATTTCCAAAATAAAGTACTTGACAACCACTCTTAGTTGTAAAGATTTGAAAAAACACCTAACAAAGAAAAAGTAATAAATTAGTCGTGGCCTACACGATAAATAATTTCACACAGTTTCACCCATAAATTATAAGATATTACACTTCTTGATATGATCGGGGTACGTTATGTAATTTTAATATTATATATTTATCTGAATATTATGTAAGTTAATTTCTAAGAGTTTATATAGGTAATGGATTAGTAGTATAGTCTTAATAGATTTTCTAGGTAGTTATCTAGGTAGCGGGGTCATAGGATTTAGTAGTTATTTTGAAGTTATCATCTCTTTGATTTTGAAGAACTTACCATTAATGAAAAGGTTTCTCACATTAATGAAAAATTACCATTAATGAAAGTTATTTTACCCTCTCAATTATCGAATTTTTCACATTACACTCTAAATTAAAACTTTTATTTCACATCACCCAAATCACAAATATCTATTATATTTTTTAATATAATTTGCTGACATGTCAAAGTAAAGTGAAAAAAATCACATAACTTGGGGGAAAAAATAAAATAATTTTTCATCAAATATGTAACGTACGTTAATAATTGCAGCAATGTGAAATTAATCATATAGTTGATGGTGAAATGTGAGAAATATGATAGATGAAGGGATAAAGTAAACAAAAATAATAGTTTAAGGACTGTAAGTGTAATTTAACACTTGGAGCAACCTGCCAATTTTAGGTGGCATTTTGTGGTGAGTTGAGACTGTTATGATCACGTTGGTTGGGGCAGAGATTTTATTCCGATTGCCTTCTCAAACCTTTTTTATTGACCCAAAAAAAAAAAAATCAAATTCAAAACATTACCCATCAAAAATAAAAAATTTCAGAACATATCACCTCAAAATAGTGTTGAAATCACAACCTCAATTATTGAAAATAGTTTTTGTTTAAACCCAACTAGGCCTACCAATGGAACGAAATTTAATTTGAATTTGAGTCAATTTAATCGGATATGAATTAATAATTTAATTTTTTTTTAACCGAATTTAATTCAGATTCAATTAAGTTTCTTTAAACGGATTTAGATACATGTAAATCCGTTTCGATAAAAATTTAATCCGATATATATATATATATATAATTGAGAGAAATTATTGTATATTTTATATAATAAAATAACTTACAATTCAAATCTTAAAAGATAAACAAAATGACTTTTACTATTCGAGGTTGAGATCGTTTTAAATTTTACTTTAAAGTTAATTTAACGACTAATATTAACACCCTAAATTTAATAGGATAAATAGGCTCATAAGAGTGTATTTGAAATGACTTTTTAAAAGTACTTTTAGAAATTACTTATCATAAATACTTTTAAAAAAAAATAGTATTTGAAACCGTCTCACCACTATCTTTACTACCACCATCGCCACCACCACTGTCGTCGCTGCCACCACTACCGCCACCACTACGACCACCACCACCATCGTTGTCGTCACCACCGTCACTGCCGCCACCACCCCCCACCACTACCACTACTATCATCGCCGTTACCGCCACCATCGTTGTCGTAACCATGAGTGTTTTTATCGTTATTGTGAATGTTTTTATCATTATAGTGATAACTATTTTTACCACTTTTTTGGATACAAAAAACGATTTTTGTGAGTGATTTATCATATTTGTAAGTGATTGTATCACTATTATGAATGTTTTTTTATTATTGTGGTAACTATTTTTATCACTTTTTTCAGTATTACAGTAGTTAAAAAAATATCCACAACAGTGATAAAAGTATTCACAAATATAATAAATAGAAGTATGATACTAAAAAATAATTAGGTATTATAGATAACTTCGTGTTGTTTTATATTTTGAACAGATTGGTTTTGTTGAAATGTGTAACATTATGTGTGGATTCCCTTCGCTAATAAATCTTGGGTCCTTTGGAGGCCGGTCTCTTTTTGTAGATTTATTTGGACTTAAGTCCACTCTAAAAGTTTGTTTGGGAATAAGTTTATTTTGATCTCCATTCTCTAAAATACTCTCAATAGTTATATTTAATCAAAACTTATTTGAAAAAACTAATAACTCATAAATTGAAAATTGTATTAGTATTAATAACTCTTAATATATATAATAATATTAAACAGTAACATGTTCAATAAAAAAATAATAACATTAAACAAAAACATGTTCAATAAAAATTAATTAAAAATTTAATCATTACAATAAAGTGACACCATACACTGAGTACTTATTTTGTTGTGAGTAAGACAATAGTTGTAGATACTCACATAGGGTGTTACTCTAATGCAATGATTTAAATGAAGTGGAGGAGAATTTGGGAGCCCTATGTCTTTTTAGAAGTCCTAACATACAAGAGCTTGAGATGTTGGTGAGTTTTTTCTTAGGGTTAATTGTATTGGATGTCCCTAAAGTATGAAATTTGTCTCATTTTAGTCCTCAATGTTTTAATTGTATCATTTTGGTCCCTGAATATTGAATATGTTTTTATATGGTCCTTCAAACAGACAACATTCAGATTGCTAGCAATTTTTTATCATAAACTTGTCACGTAATAATTAAATATGGACAAAAAATAATTTTGATAGCTCTTAAACAAAATTTGGGTAGCTCTTGATAAAAAAATGAATAATATGAGTAACTTTTGACCAAAATTTGAATAACTCATGATGAAAACTGTGAAATTTAGATAATTATTTAACTAAAATTTGAGTAAAAATTTGATCAAGAGTTATTAAAATTATTTTTTGTCCATATTTAAATATCATGTAATAAATTTATGATAAAAAGCCATTAACAACCTGAACGCTATCTGCTTGAGGGACCATATAAAAACATATTTAATACTTCAGGGATCAAAATGATGCAATTAAAATATTAGGGACCAAAATAAGATAAACTATATATTTTGGGGACCTATAGTGCAATTAACCCATTTTCTTATTACATTCCTTGTACTTGCATGCTAAAATGATTTTTCAAATGCTAAAATGAAATGTTTAGTCAAAAGCTCTTTGTACCTAAGATTCTCGTTTTTATGGAGCTACATTTGAAAACTCTTTAGACTTTTATATAATGCATTGTGTCAGTTGCCCATTCAACCAGCTAACATTTTGGAAGAAGATTATCTCAGTTACCCATTCAACCAGCTACAGCTTATTAAAATAGCTGGACTCTCTGGTGGTAGATAGGAACTGGATTTTATCAACTTTTTACTTGCAAATTCACCTGTACTTGAGCGGGTGACAATTAAGCCTTATGCACTGGATGGAGAATGGGAGTTGCTAAAAGAATTGCTCCGACTCAGGCGAGCTTGGGTACGAGCAGAAATCATTTACCTAGACCCATAAAGATGATAAAATGGTACATTGAAATCAGTTATTTCTGCGTAATACACTTTGTTCTTCTGTATTCACTTGATCTTTCCGAAACCATTCATGTTCTTAGTACAAATCTAGGAATAGTCTTATAGTTGGTCTGCTCTGATGATAAACTAGGACGATGGAGCCGACTATGAATCTTTTTCACACTAAGCAACACTTCTAAATTGAAATCAATTGCTACATCAAATTTAACTTGTCTGCATTGTATAATGCCTTTTTTGATTTGTATTTCTTTGATGGAATTTAATACATTCGTTGGAAATCTTGAGTCTGTTCTTTTGTTTTTTTCTTAGGTATTTGCATTGGGATAAGTAATTTACACTCTCCAAATTTTATCTTATAGGGGAGAATTCTTTGAACCATGTTTACCATGCATAAAAAACTTGAAATACTCATGGAATTTATTACACTTTGGCTTCATCTATAGCTGTTGAGCTAGCGAAAGGTGAATGGTTTCACCTATAGCGTGGAATTGCCACAAAGCTTAGTCAGATGGATAATTCAACATTAGATTATTTAGCGTGATTGTTTCTTTGGGATTAAAAAATTAACTCTGATGAAATATGAAAAATAAGAGTCAAAGGAATAAAGTTATATATCCTATGAAAAAGAAAAAAGAAATACAGTTTTATAGACCATTTGAGTCATTACATGGGTTTGTTCTTAT